CCATCATCAGGCTTCTGTGTTGTGTTCATCTGTGAGTCAGACTTTTACAGTGGTTTCAGTTTTAAATTTGAGGCTAGCCTACTGCTGTGCCAGAATGGTTTTTTCTTCATCCTGATTGGTTGGGAGTCTTGGTCTGTGTTTATTGGTCTTGGAGTTTGCTGTGTTCTGCTTGATTGGTGTTTCTAATGTCTTCTGTCTGTTTTGTAGTGTTGTTGTTTTTTTTGTCTTGATTGGCTGGCAACATTTTGTTTCCTGTATTGAAGGTTTTTAGTGTGGTTTGGCTCCGAGTAAATGGACAGCCATCATTTATTAGGAAGCTAGGCTTCATCTGGGTGCCTGGTTGGGGTGTGTTTGAGCTAGAGGAATTGGGGGGGGTCTGTTTGTGCCCAGGTATTTGCTTGGCTTGTGGTGTGGAGATTTTTTTGTTTGTGAGTGCAGGCTTCCAGATAATTGACAGTCTGGTGGAGTTATCTCTTCTATTCATGCTTTCAGGTCTTTTTTCAATCTCTATGGCTTGTCTGATAATTCTGTAGCTGGGGTTTTCTATAGTGGCTAGGGTTTTGGTGCCATTGAAGTCGATGCTATGACCTGTGGCTTTCATGTGTTGGACTAATAAGGAAGTGTGTTCCAGCTTTTTTACTGCATTTTTGTGTTCATCCAAGCGGGTACTTATCCTTCTATTGGTCTGTCCAATGTATGTGGCAGGGCATAATGTACAGGGGACTTCATATATGCCTTGATTTTCCAGGTCAATTTTATCTTTGGAGTTTCTTAGGATGGCTGCTATTTTTTCTGTCTGTTTTGAAGGCAGTCTTGATGTGATGCCTGTGTAGTATCTTACTGACTTTGTCTGTAGTACCTCTTATGTAGGGCAGGACAGCTGTTCCATAGGTCTGTTCATCTTCTAGGTCTCCATTATGTCTCAGTGTGGTTTTTTGGATCAGGCCTGTGATTTTGCTTTTGTGGAAGCCGTTGGTTGTCAGTACTTTAGTCAGGGTGCATAATTCAGTCTTTATGTGTGTCTTTTCTGCCAGGCGTTTGGTTCTGGCAATTAGTCTTTTGGCCACGGAGTTTATCTGTGCTGGGTGGTGGTGGGATTGGGCGTTGAGGTAGCGGTTGGTGTGTGTGTTTTTCTGGTATATGGTATGTCCTAGTGTGCCATCTGTTTTTTTTTGTAGATTAGTACATCTAGGAATGGTAGTTGTTTGTTTGTTTCCATTTCCATGGTGAATTTGATTTTGGGGTGTGTGCTGTTTAGTTGTGTTCCTAACAATTTCCTAACACACCTGGCTGAATACTATCCATACATACATACACACTCACACACACACACATATATATGTTATATAATAATACTTTTCTTTTTATAATCTGCCCTGTCTAATCAACAAAGCATAAATCACAAGTTTATTTTTTTCATGCAAAAAAAAAAAATCTATTAGAAACTTCTAGTCACCAATAAATATAGCTTGTGACTTTTCTCTAATCAAAGGTGATGTATCCATCTCAGTAAACTGGGATGATTTCTATTACCTTGACTGTGGTAACATTTGCCATTCCTATTTCCTGCAAATAATCTAGCAAAACCCAAAAAAAGATCCTTGCCAGGGATACTCCCAAAGAGAGAATGAAAAATCTGGACTCAACCCCAGCATGGCTTGCATATTGGGCTGCATGTAACTCTACAAGTCAGAAAATTCAAATATGAATAAATAACCAATAAAACAGTCAAGTCACAATTCCAATTATTGATAAATGCATGAGATTGTTATATATTCATGGATATTCTTTCTGTTGGGTAACTATTGTCTCTTTGTAGAAGAGAACTTCAATAAAATAATTTAATCATTTTGGAACAAGAAGCAGGGAGAATTGTTTTGATTAATTATAAATTATACTTTAATTATTTAAATAAATGAATTATAGATACTTATATTTCAAGCTTCACTTGAGGGAGAGTTATGTTTTTACTTTTTACAACACAGGAAAAGTAATTAAGTTTCTCCACACCCAGAATTCATAAGAATCCCTGTCTGAAGGCCAAAACAAACACAACATTAAATACATTGATTGTACAAACAGCAATAATGAGTTGGTTGCTCAGAACTGTATGTTTATGTGTGTCATTTAATGTCATAAAATGGCTGTTTTGCCATGGGTAAGTTAAATATACTATAGCCAATATGGTTCCATCTGCAAATTTATTTACACAAAAGGAAAGGGCTACCTCTAAAAATATATTTTAAAGTTTGGTTGAATTTCAAAGAGTGTTAAGTCCTGTTCTTTCCCTAGTGGTATGATTTCTCAATAAGAGGTTTACTAGCAATTTAACACTATGGATTGTTATGACAGACCAAATCAAATCAACAATTCATGCTTTCTGTACTAACGTCAGCATTTCTTCACTGGGAAATCTAATTATACTTATGTACAGATGGCATCCATCTTGGGATCATTATTTTTCAGAATGTGATGATATACAAGTGAAACTCAAAAAATTAGAATATTGTGCAAAAGTTCACTTATTTCAATAATGCAACTTATAAGGTGAAACTAATATATGAGATAGACTCATTACATGCAAAGCAAGATAGTTCAAGCCATGATGTGTCATAATTGTGATGATTATGGCTTACAGCTCATGAAAACTCCAAATCCACAGTCTCAGAAAATTAGAATATTGTGAAAAGGTTCAATATTCTAGGCTCAAAGTGTCCCACTCTAATCAGCTAATTAAGCCATAACACCTGCAAAGGGTTCCTTAGCCTTTAAATGGTCTCTCAGTCTGGTTCAGTAGGAATCACAATCATGGGAAAGACTGCTGACCTGAACAGTTGTGCAGAGAACCATCATTGACACACTCCATAATGAGGGAAAGCCTCAAAAGGTAATTGCAAAAGAAGTTGGATGTTCCCAAAGTGCTGTATCAAAGCACATTAATAGAAAGTTATGTGGAAGGGAATTGTGTGGAAGAAAAAGGTGCACAAGCAGCAGGGATGACCACAGCCTGGAGAGGATTGTCAGGAAAAGGCTATTCAAAAGTGCTGGGGACTTTCACAAGGAGTGAACTGAGGCTGGAGTCAGTGCATCGAGAGCCACCACACACAGATGGATCCTGGACATGTCATATTCCTCTTGTCAAGCCACTCCTGAACAACAACAACAACATCAGAAGTGTCTTACCTGGGCTAAAGAAAAACAGAACTGGTCTGTTGCTCAGTGGTCCAAGGTCCTCTTTTCTGATGAGAGCAACTTTTGCATCTCATTTGGAAACCAAGGACCCAGAGTCTGGAGGAAGAATGGAGAGGCACACACTGCAAGATGCTTGAAGTCCAGTGTGAAGTTTCCACAGTCTGTGTTGATTTGGGGAGCCATGTCATCTGCTGGTGTTGGTCCACTGTGCTTCATTAAGTCCAGAGTCAACACAGCTGTCTACCAGGAGATTTTGGAGCATTTCATGCTTCCTTCCGCAGACAAGCTTTATGAGGATGCTGACTTTATTTTCCAGTAGGACTTGGCACCTGCCCACACTGCCAAAAGCACCAAAACCTGGTTCAATGACTGTGGGATTACTGTGCTTGATTGGCCAGCAAACTCGCCTGACCTGAACCCCATAGAGAATCTATGGGGCATTGCCAAGAGAAAGATGAGAGACATGAGACCAAACAATGCAGAAGAGCTGAAGGCCGCTATTGAAGCATCCTGGTCTTCCATAACACCTCAGCAGGCTGATAGCTTCCATGCCACACCGCATTGAGGCAGTAATTGCTGCAAATGAGGCCCAAACCAAGTACTGAGTACATATGCATGCTTATCCTTTTCAGAGGTCCGATATTGTTCTATGTACAATCCTTGTTTTATTAATTGCATGTAATATTCTAATTTTCTGAGATTGTGGATTTGGGGTTTTCATAAGCTGTAAGCCATAATCATCACAATTGTGACAAATCACGGCTTGAACTATCTTGCTCTGCATGTAATGAGTCTATTTCATATATTAGTTTCACCTTTTAAGTTGCATTATTGAAATAAATGAACTTTTGCACGATACTCTAATTTTTCGAGTTTCATCTGTAAACATTTTCCATCTAAGTATGGAAAGCATATCTGCTTTTCCTATTATCAATAGTAACCCTGGGGTCATGGGAAGCTCGGGTGGACTAACAAGCTATCGACATCATGGCAATTGAGACAAGCTTAAATCTAGTGGTTTGGGCAGAGATTGTTCCATTTCAATTTCAGCAGCATTATTTTTTTTGGTCTAATTTACTTGTCATATTCATAGTAACAGTTTCTTCAATAAATCAAAGTGATTCACATGGTAATCATCCCTGATTACCATGTAACTTTGAGGGGGAAAGTGAACTGAGAGAATGGGATTGGCCCAAAGTCAACCAGTGAGTTCCATGGTTGAAGAGGGTTTAACTTGAGTCTCCCAAATCCAAATACCATAACCACTGTGCCATTTTGCAATGAAGAATGAGATTGGTTTTTAGCTAAGTTATATTCTCAAGCACATAGATAAGACCGGTCACCTATTTTTTAGGACCTAATATACTTTTTGAAAAACTAGAATTTTATTTTATTAAAATAAGTGTCCAATGTTTATCACGGCTTTAGTGCTCCCGTTTGTGCAGTTATGTTTCTGAAAAAAAAGTCAAGACCTCTACTGCTATAATTTGTTGCCAACTTTTAAGAATGGAGTGTTGGTGGCCTCCATAGATTACACGAAAAAAGCTGGGAAATTTAACATACACAAGAATCAATGTGGGAAGTGGTAACAAGGAGCTACCCTACTCAACATTTACCCTCTAATATAATCAATCATTGTCTATAGGCCTTTAAGGAGTCTGATAGTAGACATCTGAGGTCTGAAATCACTCACTGCATAGAATTGCAATTAACCAGAATTTAACCAGAGATTATCTTGGTTGCTATCAAAGACCAATATCATTTTTTCCCCTCCTCTATTTTGCTGCTGTGTGGTGGCTAATCTGAAGTAAGTTCAGTCACCAGAATATAGTGCAGTGCATTGGGGTGAGCCTGCAAACGTTGCCTCGTTTTATCCTTTTGGAGCTGATGACTGGAGGAGACATGAAGAGCTTCCTACGGAAGAATCGGCCTCGGGAGGTGAGTCAGCTCTCCCTTTTCCCAACCTTTTCCTGCTCTGGCATCCAATGAGTTGTTGAAACAGGATTTGTTTTCACATGATTACGCAGCTTGAATAAAGTAGCTACCATATATGCAGCTTTAGTGACTGTTTAGTGACCGTTTGAAGTTATTACGATGATGATGAAAAAGTGACCTTATGACCCATCTTTACCTTTGTAGGTCTGTAAAACAAAAGAAAGATGATGTCAGATGATAAGCATAGTGATGGTTTCACTTAGTGACAGCTTTGTTTAACAATGAAGTTGCCAGCCCCAATTGCAGTCACTTAACAAGTATTACCTGTACTGATGGATAAGCCAAAAAATTTAGTTGCCAAAATAGACCCCAATAAAGGAGAATATTTGTAGCTCAGTGTTGAAATGAAGGGTCCCTGGTGCTCTCTGAGCTTGGTTGTTTTCTCACAGACATTTCATTACCCATGCTAGGTAAATCATCAGTACTAGACCACTGCACTGATTAGCACTGTTGATGTTACCTAGTTTGGATAATGAAGCATCTGCAAGAAAACCACCAAGCTCGGAGAACACCAGAGATCCTTCAAAATTCACCTCCAAAATTGGGTTTGTCTTATCCGCACATTGGATTAACTACAAGTATGGTATTTTATACATATATTACAAAAACATGGCTGAGTTTGGAAGTGTGGGTTGTTCTTTCTGAAATTTGCCTGGCCAGGTTTTAAGTGTGGCATCAACCAAGGGTGGTAGAACAAAGGTTGGGACATCTCTAATAAAAAGGTGCTTCAGTTCTACATTTGTCTTTTTATTTATTGATTGATTTATTTATTTGTAAAATTTATTAGCCACCTATCTTTCTGCACAGTAACTCTTTAGTACTTGCATCCTTCACCCTCTTATGTATAAAGATAGACATACTGTGCTCTTTTTTTAAAAGTAAAAGATAGATAGATAGATAGATAGATAGATAGATAGATAGATAGATAGATAGATAGATA